TCTCTCTGTCACAAATAAATAAATAAAATCTTTAAAAAAAAATAAAAATAAAAAATAAAATCAATTGTTTTCTTAAATTCTTAGTACATGATTTGGCTAGTTTTAATTTTATAGGGGAGTATTAACTTCTTCTTGTTTTCATTTTTTATTTTGGTAGATTTTCTTACATTTTCCTTCATTTTATTTCTAAAGATATTTAGCCAATCCCTTCAAAATCAGTAACTGATTTAAGTTTTATCATAATCTTGTTAGAGTTTGGTATGACTTCCACAATAATTTTTTGGTGATGATTTTGAGCCTTCTGAGTATATTACTTATTTTGTTAATAGTATAGACATCCAGCTTAAAAATTACTACACATTAAAAACAAAAAACAGCTGTGCCTGGAAGGCCTTTATGGCCCCTGATGGTTCTATGGCAGTGTTACTGGAATAAGATTTGGGGCCCATCAAGAACCCCTTTGCTTCTGCCTCATAAAGAAAACCATGTGTGCCTTTGTTTCCTCCACATGGTGACTTGCCCTCTTCCCCCCTTGGGTAACCCTTAACTGCAGAGCTTTAAGGACACATGCATTTGGGGGGTGGGGGTGGAAGAAAGCAATGCCTGGGAAAACACAGAAAGAGATGCTAAGCTTGAACTTAGAGTGTGAGTTTTCCAGGTGGAAAAGGAGTTGGAAGACCTTGTGCTTTTGTGATACTCTTGGCATTTTTTACATTGCTTTTTTTTTTATTTCCTTGAGAGTAGCTGTCTTCTTTTTTCAGTCATTGTGTCTCCATGCCTGATCTCCTGCTAATAACTCAGTACATATATCTTGAATGCTAGATATTCCCTTTGCAAGGCGAGCCCAGAAGTGATTTTTCCAACAAAAGCAGTATGAAAATACAGTACTGCTGTTTCTTGGACTGGCCAAGAGACCAGGCCTTAGGAAGATCACTCTTAATGCTGAGTAAATTAGCACGATCATTCAGTCGTTGAATATGTATTGAGTACCAACTAGGCACTGCTAGGTTTGGGGGAATTTGGTGAGTGAGATAGACATAGTCCTTCCCCTTAATACAACTTCTCTTCTAATAGTGGAAATAGATCAGGAATCAGCCAGCTGTATAGTTAGAAGTTCTGTGAAGGAAACAAGGTACAGTGAGGAAGAAAAAGATTCAGGTTTAGGACGGCAACTACAGAAGAGGTCATCAGGGAGGCCTTTCTGAAGAGGTGACATTTTAGTAGGAAACTGAGAGATGAGATTGGGATGTCTAGGGAACAGCTGAAGAGACAGAGGATTCAAGCGGAAGGACTGTGTGGTACAAAGTTGAGAGGCAGGAAAAAGTTTGGCACATGGCAGGAATTGAAAGGAGGCCAGTGTGGTTAGAGTGGTACAGGACCGGACATGGCAGGGCCAGGTCACGCAGAGACTTTTGTAGTGAGTGCATTGGGATCCATTGTAGGATACCACATGGAAGACTGGCATCGTACAGCTTGTTTGACTTGCTCTTGGTGGGGGCCAAGACTGTGGGAGACCTGAAAGGAGCATCAGCATTATGAAGGCAAGGGGGTGATGGTGGGGAGAGAGTCTGGATACTGGTGGGGAAAATCAAGGGGAGAAGATGGACTTGAACTGTATTTTAGAGGTAGAATGAAGATGACTTCCTGTGAGATTGGACGTGAGGAGTAAACTAGAATGAAGAGTCAGAGAAGAAGGACTTTTAACTTTCTGGTTTGAATATCTGGGTATGTATCAATTCCTGAGATGGCAAAGCCTAGAGAGAAATAAGTTTGAATGTTAAGTTTGAACTTAGAACTTAATAAGTTTGAGTGCTAGTGTGACATCCTATAATTACATGTTATTACATGTTTTCTCCCTACACTTTTGTGCTTGTCCAACCCAAAGCTCACCTTCTTCAGATCTTTTCTCAAATGTTAACCTTCAGTGAGATCTTTCTTGACCAACCTCGTTAAAGTTGAAACCCCTACACTAACTCCTTTTTCTGCCTAATTTTTCTCCATAGTAATTATCACCATCTGGCGTGTTACGTATTTGACGTGTTTATTGACTGAGTAGAACGTAAGATCTGTGAGATCGGGGACTTCTGTGTATTGATCATTTCTCTGTATGTCCCCAACACCGGCCTTAGTAAATGCTTAGTAAATATTTATTCTGAATATATAAAATCACTTGAAGGATTCTTTGGTGCTTTCCATGACTAAATTTTTTGTAAGTATCTGTCCCACTTTTGGCTTAAAACAATTCAGTTTTCTTTTTTAAATGAATGCAGATTTCATGGAGTATTTCATGTATGTGTATGCACATATATGGGGGTTGGCATTGCTTTTTTAAGGATTAAAAAATTAAATCTATAATTTATATTTTAATTATCTCTTACTTTTCAGGTTACAACTGATGGAAAACCAAAAATCATTGATATCATTGATACCACAGGAAGTGGTGATGTGAATACTGCTACAGTGGTGGAGCCCAAAGATGGCGAGGTTGTCGGTCTTTCAGGAAGAGCACTCAAG